CATCCAGGCAGCAGCTTAGCTCAAGGTGCTGAGTTCAGTCTTAGCTGTGGGTGGGCATTGCCACCATCCCACGTGGGAGTCGAACCTGGCAGCCTTGTTGTTAAGAGCGTGTGCTCTATTCACTGAACCAACCGGGCGGCAGCTCAGTTCAAGGTGCCTTCAGTCTTAGTTGCAGGTGGGCATAGCCCACCATTGAACAGGCAGTCTTGTTGTTAGGAACCTGTGCTCTCACCGGCTGAGCCATCCTGCTACCTGTTGGCAGCTCAGTGGCAGCTCAGCTCAGGCACAGCATCACTGGCCCATGTGGGATCCGAACCAGCAGCCCTGCTGCTCAGCGTTCGCACTACCAAGCCAACTCTTAACCAATTAGCCACTCGGCTGGCCCCCTCAAATTACTTTTAATGATTTGGGTCATTCATCTTGATGCTTCATTAAGAAGGTGTTAGCCTTATGAAAGATGTAAGTTCATAAACACTTAACTTATTTATGATTAACTGAAGCCTACTTGGTTTGAGTCTCTGTTTTCTGTGTTAGCTCTCTCAAAATGACCATTAAATAGGTTCGAAGAGTATATTAGAAATTCCTAAGGCATGAGAAAGAGACCTACGGGAAATGGAGAGGTCCTAGGAGGACTCCATGGTTACTTACTGTACACAGTAGGACTGCATTTTCTGCTGGATTGTATGACATATTGAACACTGGAAACTTGGAACCACTAGAAATATATAGAGAAAAAAAGAGAAAATAGAAAGAGGCATAGGAATTATTCCTACACCTCCTACTTACCTAATCTTTACACATTACTCATCATCTTTATAATCAGGAATAAAAACAAATATCGCAATCTATTTTCTTCCTTCCCTTAATACTTGGGGACTTCCCTATCTCAGCTTTGAGCAGTTATAAAAAAGCAAACCCTAGTACAAGTCAGATTATTCAACAGAAGATACAATTAGCACTCACTGTAGTGAGTGAAAACTGGTTCTTCTTGGGTACAAATTCCTACACATAATTGCAGTGGACGCCACAGAGTAACATGATGTGATTTGTCTCTGGCTAGTTTCTCCCATCCCTTCTAGTGTTCACATAAACCCATCTTTTTATTGTAGTCATGCTAGAGGGTGATTATCAAATCCTCATGCCAAAGTTTGCCAGCATGAATGTTTCAGCATGCTGGCTGATGCAGCTGGCTTTCTAAGAGGACAATTCCTTTTGCCAGGTGTCCCAGAGGTTATCATAGCTTCAGAGTTAAAGAGTTTCCAGAGACATATTTCTGGTTTAGAGTTGCCTATATTTTGCTGGAAAGCAAAGAAGGGTTACAGAAATGCTAAATGTAGGCAAAAAGGCTGGTCGCCAAGTGGGGCTACTCTCTATCAAGAAACTTCCTCTGGTTTGCAAGAGACTTGGCAAACTGTGGCAGTATAATTTCCTGTCCACAGGGTCACTTGCATTCTCAACAGGAGAACTTTCACACCCCTCATGGCCACCTCCTTGCCCACCATGCTCCCGGAGTTTAAACTGAGCAGCCTCAGCCAAAGGAGGTTTGATCTATGACAGGAGATGAGATGCAACATGTTGTTAAAAGAACAGAGTCCTGTTTGTGGATATTGTACCATGGTGAGAGAGGGCAGAGTTTGGAGGGAAGAAACAAGTTTGATTTACCTCCGCAACTGCATCACAGCTACATCTTTAGAGCTGTTGAAATCCAATTGACGTAAGAATCGGTCCTTGACATAATGCAGCATATTGCCATGAACAGCATAGGCTGGCCGTTCCCGTTCCAGTTTAAACACAATCATGCCACCATCATGGCCTGAGGTACAGAGAGAAGGGAGGAAAGAATTAGCTGTAGGCAAGAAAGCAAGCTGAAAACAGGAGATACACAAGGATGATTGTATATGTTTGCCAAAAACAAAGTTAAGACATCTCAATGAATCCTTTATTTGCCTAAATTAAGATTTTTGGAATCTTTATTCAAATAAATTTCTGTGAATCCTTTCCTCAGTAAGTCCTCACCTAAGGTAGTGAATAGGTTTGCAACTTTAAGCAAAACAATGCATCATGAAACCAATTTTACCATAGGCTAATTGATATAAACAAATGTTAAGCTCCTATGGCATCTCAATATTGTAATAAAATGATGCTGAACCAAACAATGTTTTAATATTGAGGACCTGTGTCCTCTATCACACTGCCACATAGACATGCCCGCCTCTGTGTTCTCCTAACACTTTGTACAAACATCCATTATAGCACTTAATCACCCTACACTATAATTGTGTAGGTCTATCGCAATACTCCGCTATGCCATGAGCTTCCTGAAGACAGAAATTACAATAATTTCCATACTTCCCCAGTCCTAGATTTTAAGAACATAAAAATACTTGAACAAATAGATGCCTTTGTGGTTCTGTTTTTTAAAAATGTTTTTGCTGGGGTCAGCCGTGTGGCTCAGTTGGTTAAGAGCGTGAGCTCTGAGCAACAGGGTCACTGGTTCGATTCCCACATGGGCCAGTGAGCTGCACCNCACAAGTGCTATGATTGCTTGTAAAGAAAATAAATTACTAGAATTAATATGAGTCTAGCAGGGTCTGTGAAATAGAATCAATTTAAAATTTTAATTATATTTCTAAATACAAGCAAAAATTAGAAAAATAAAATTTTAAATGGATACTATCCATTTACAAATAGCATTAAAAAATACCAAGTGCCAAAGAATAAATCTAACCAAAGAAATGCAAGATCTCTATGGAAAAAATTATAAAACTTTATTGAAAGATGTTTCAGAAGACCTCAGTAAATGAAGAGCTACTCTACTATGTTCACAGATTTAAAAAGTTAATATTGTAAAAATGACAATTATGCCCAAAATGACATACAGATTCAATGTAATCCCAACTAAAATCACAATAGGGTTTTCTTGTTTTGTTTTTGCTTTATTTTATATAGAATTTTGCAAGCTGATTCTAAAATTTATACTTTATCAGGGCAAAAAATTATTTGAAATTTGCCTTTTCAAGGCAAAATTAACTTGAAAATAGTCTAATAACTTAAAAAAAAAAAGTGGGAAAGATTTGAGGACTTGCTTTACCAGATGTGAAGGCTTATAAAGCTACTATACTTAAAGTGTAGAAGTAGATCAGAGACAGACCACAGAAAACAGATCCTTGCACTTGTGTAAACACGATTTACACATGACACAGATCATACTGTAGAACTATGGGGAAAGGCTGGTCTTTTCAATAAATGACAATAAATGGGACAGCTGAGTGTCCTAATGGAAAAATGTAAAACTGAGTCCCCTATACCTCACACCACACACAAAAATGAACTTCAGGTAGATTATAGACTCAGATATAAAAAGCAAAACTAGGGCTGGCCAAGTGGCGTGCTGGTTAGGAGTTGGCTTGGTATGCCAACTCTGAGCAGTAGGGCCCCGGTTCGTTACCCACATGAGGGCCAGTGATGCTGCGCCCTCTACAGCTAAGATGGTGAACAACAGCTCGACCTGGAGCTGGGCTGCCGTAAGTCTCCGGCGACGGCATAGGCTGCAGCTGGGCTGGCCAGCAGAAGGCTTGAGCTTTCTTGAGCTGCCCTGAGCCAGCCTTGTTCAAAGGTCAACTGTATATAAAGAACTACAAATTAAGATGGATTTTAACTCATTTAAGAAATGGATAGGGGGCTGGCCAAGTGGCTCAGTTAGTTAAGAGCTCGCTCAAGAGTGTGAGCTCTGAGCAACAGCAGTTCGAGTTCTGCCCGAGCTGAGCTGCCACTGAGCTGCCAACAGGTGGCAGGATGGCTCAGCTAAAAAAAAAAAAAGTTAAAACAATTAAAAAATAAAAATAAAAAATGGATAAAAAAGACTTGAACAGAATTCACAGAAGAGGAAATCTGATTAATAGCCACATGAAAACTTGTTCAATCTCGTTTGGAATCAGAGAATAGCAAAGTAAAATTACAATGAGATACTACTACACACACATCAGATAGACAAAAATAAGCCTGAGAAAGGCAAGTGTTGGCCAGGATGACAAGCAAGAAAACTTTTATACAGTGCTGGTGGATATGCAAATTGATACAACTACTTTCGAAAACAGTTTTCACATTATCTAGTAAACGTAAAGATATG